AAAACGAACAAGTTAGAAAAAACACAGCCCGGTACAATGTTAGCATGACCGTTGACTCTGTGCAAACATCCTGTTTTTCAACTTATCCGAATGTTACCGATTTGGAATAGTGTGAAATGCAAAAACAGAAAGTGGTTTGCTCTCGTTTATTAGAAGGTGTAGGCAACCATGTAGGTGTAGCATATGTGTGTACATAATTATATTTTTCGCGTGAATTATTTTGAACGGTGGGAAAAAGGACACATGCCATTTTGGACGTGTAGGATCTTATGGTGTAAATGGAAGGAAAACTGAAAAATGTGACACTCTTGCTGTGTGTGTGCGGACAATGTTTGTTCCTACCTAGAGAAAGGGTGAAATTATGGCACACCATCTATTTTTCCATTGCGCCTGAGTTGTTACGTATGCCACTTTAAATATGCTAAAGGACTTAGGGAATGGAAACTCCACACTCCATTTATCCATTTTCCTTCCGTAGTACAATATGGTCTAAACTTCCTGTATTGGGAAATTTTCCATGTTCACGTTGTTCATTGGCTACACTCGGTAACTTCGATTAGCCAAGGTAGCCACAAGCTTCCCTTACACACCTTGACTGTGTGCGTCCAGTACATATGAGGTATGAGGGCGGGGCATAGCTCATTATTCCGGCAAATATGGCATGCTATTTTTTCGTGGAAACCTATCGTATACATTGACTTTTACAATTTGCGGGATCACCCCTTTTTGTGCATATCAAAAGGTACCTTGTAAAACCGTTTCATTTGGCAATGTGGAAGTTTTATATACGCAGGAAAATAATAAATAATCAATATGCAACGAAGAAAAACGAGCAATGTTACATATTATAAGAATAGGCATTGTATGAATTAACTCAGATCATCATTGTGTACTATATATGTTACACATATACGATGTAACAAATAATTATTCGCTATATATACACATAGAATAACAGAAGGACGCATCATTTTTTTTTTTTTCCAATGCTTTATCCTCCCATCAGGTCTATGGACCAAATTATTACAGAAACAAAACAGAACTATATGTGTATGAAATATTCCTATTAGAAAAAACGTAAACCATATTATAATGTAGAAAACGGAACTATAAAGCTAAATGCTATAAAGGAAATATAAGCCATATCCTACAAAATGTATACAATATCAGTATGAGGGTCAAACTAAGAAAATATGTACAAACATACTGTAACATTGAAGTTGCCTGCCGCAAATGCAATACAGGAAGTTACTTATGGTTTGTTAGGTGCTTTCGGTTTTCTGGGGCATCTCTGATTTTTCCGGAGTACCTCAGGTTTCTCATCTGCCTCCGATGAAATTTTGGTCGTTCAAAACCTTCTTCGGCGCTTTCGCCTTCGCCTGCGGTAGCAGCACCGGAATAGCCCAAGTGAGGACATACTGATTATACCCATTCCAGCTGCAGCGGCGGCCAAGGCAATCCCAGCTATACCCCACGGTCCTACCACTGCTTTAAACACAGTACTCCATGCAAATGGAAGTAGAGGCCCAACAAAACAGGCAGCAGTAAACATTATTAAACAGTAAGCGACAATAGCCACAACGAAGGACTTGCTGTACCTATAAGTAATATATGCAGCCAACTGCCGTCTACTAAAGCCTCTTCCGGTTTTGATGTTAACTGCCTTATTCTGCTTGCCATGCTTTGTGCTTGCGATGGTTCCTGTAAATTAGGCGTGTGCAATAGGATTCGATGAATATTCTATCTCCCCAACGAGGCGTTTTTTCGGGGGACAAATCTGCACATACAACTTTCGACAAAATTTGTATTTTCTCTCCTCGTGTGTGCACATCCGTTTTACCTGTACCCGAAGATCCTTTCGGCGCCTGTTTCGTTTTTGCACTTTGTCCTTTATTTTGTAGGGATGGCGACAATGACCCTTGTGCATCAACCTTCGAAAGCGATGTGCTAGAGTTTTCAACTGAAGCGGAGACTGCTACATCGGAAGATAATGTGTCGTTGCTATCGACTTCTTCTTCCCGTGCATCATGTTGTATTTTCCACTTTCCATAATAATGCACTTGTTGTGGTACCTGGTACTCCACCATTTTCCATGCTTTTAGTATAGTTCCATCTTCCTCATCCTCCCATTGTCCGTCCGAATATATTCGTTTCGGGGAAAATGCATAGGCTTCTTCATAAGGTTCGTCGACATCGTTGTAGGCACCTTCATAGGTTTCTTCATCATCGTTATAGTGTTCGAATGCCATCGGATCTAATTCAAGCTCATCTTCTGATGCAATTGCTTTAATTTTTGCTAAACTGCGGGCAACTCTGTTATGTACGCGTAATTTGGCCAAAGGCTCTGAGTGTCTGTCGAATTTATCTGGATGCTGTAGAAAGGGGAAGCGAAGAGGAGTGGTGATGAGTTGAATTAATAATAGAATGGCAATGGAGAAAGGAACAAAGGGGAAACAGTATATATGAATACAGTAGTATATATAGGATACATGTGGTATATATATAAGCAGTCATAAAACGTCCCATTCTCCACATACATCTATATGTGATCATGTAATCCTTCATACTGGGCTTACCGTTAAGAAGATGCAAGCAACAACAAAAAGCATAGCAGCTGTTTTGGAGAACAGGGACCTATGTGCCGATTTGTCATGTGTTTTACGTTCTTTCCTGGATGCGGAGACCTTTGTGCCATTTCGGGATGGCGACGCGCCTCGTGAGACACCGTTGGGTGTTGATGTTGTTTTGTTTAGGTGTACCATGTTGTTAAGGATACTTATATAAAAAGCAAATGTACGGGGGTAGTGTGCTTTTCGCTTATCTTTTTTTATTTACGCTACGCCTAGGAGGACATTATGCTAAGATAAGAAAAAAGAAGTATTACAGGAATGAATTAACACAAAATTTTTTTTTTCCTTAACGTCAGCATATAGCAGTATGAGAAGTGTTGTACTTCTGTTTTTTTTTTTTTTGTTTTCTCTGGATTGAGCTATATAGGATCCCGTTGTAATTTACTGTTCCATAAAAATTACATATACATAAGTATTTCTATTGTGCAAAATGTAAAAAAAAAAAAAAATAAAAGAAAAATTGGATTAAGTCAAAATAAACTATATTACAAATTAAAGGAAATTATGCAAAAAAAAAAAAAAAAAGAAAAGAAAAATGCACAGAAGAATAAATTATTTTGAGGTTTAGAAGAGGAAACGCCATTTTAAAATTTGAACAATGTGTGGGGGATTGAGTTGTAGGTTACAGATGGAAAATGTTTCTTTTGTAACTGAACCGTTACATATATATAGGAATATATGCAAGTTACGGCTTTATTGCGTTTATACGCTGCGCATAATACGCTGATGCATAAAACACTAGGTGCCTTAGTCAATTGTTTGCCACGAGAATGCGCTCAATCACATTATTTTATAAATGGAGATGTAAAAAATTTGTACTGCATGTAACATTATCGCAAA